AACGGATTATTATTACTGATGTAACAATTTCTTTTTATTATTGGCGTGGTTATCCGAGTCTTTCCCATTTTTGTTAGAATTTTCAGACGATTCTGAATAAAATTTATGACATTTTCAACATTCTAATATTTTAAAAAATTATACGGCGAGATATTTTATTTGTAACAATGCAAACAAAAATATGTTACTATTTCTTACAAGATTTCTGGTGATAATCTCTCTCCGTTGTTGCTTTATATGTTGTCGCGCTATGATATTTATATATAAAAATAAATATTAAATGGCCACTGATACATAGTTACATAGTTTAAAGTAAAAAAAAGTAAATACGTAATATACGTAAAAATATTCATTTTACAGATTCAGTCGTTCCAGTTAATTTTACACTCACGTCCCATAAGCGTAGCGCTACGTCGGCCTCTAGTTTCTTCTTTGAAACGTAAAGCTTACAATCGCGGTAAATATTACCACTTTCGTTGGACAACGAAGGTTCTATCGCACAATGTAACACAGTTTGTGCACCCTGCGACAAAGATATATATGTACGTGAATGAACGCGATGAACACAATGGAACATTTGTTGAACAAAATTTCGACCGGTATCCCATAAAAAGATACTAGGCTAATACTAGACTAGTTTTAGGTAAGAATAGCTACCTGATTTGCAGTACGTAAAAATAATAGAGCGACAGGTGAAAAAATGATGTAATGAAACCAACTCCTTTTTACATTTCTGAACAATCCTGTGTAAGTGAATCCAGGGCAAACCGTGTAAACGTTAACGCCGCTGTTCTTTGTCCGTTTTGCGAGTTCAATGCCGAAATAAGCGTTTGCCAATTTTGAATTGCAATACGCGGGATTCATGCGTCCTTTGACTACCAAACCTTTCTCCCCGTTTAGATTTGAAAGATCAATTATCCCGGATTCGAAAAGTTTCGACGTCACGATAACGATTCTATTGCCAAAGAAACGAGTAACGAACGAGTAACAAATATAATTATAAATTAGTGAGTGGAAATTGATTGATTTGGAAGTAAATATTTCGCTTTACGGTACAAACCTGCTTGGTCCGTTTCGTTCTAAATGTTCGAGAAGTAAATTTGTAAGCAAAAAGTGGCCCAAATGATTTACGCCGAAATGAATTTCAAATCCATCGTCGGTTAAAGCATGCTCTTTGAAAGGAACGTATACTCCGGCGTTATTGATCAGAACGTGAACCTCTGCAAAATTTTTTATCACTTCTCTGGCAAATTCTCTGATCGATGAAAATGACGCTAGATTCAATTCCATCGGTACCTGTGAAAAATATGATGATTAATCATATCTCTTTCTCAAAGAGACATATACACCAGCAGATGCGTACGGATAGACTGTATATCCGTTGCGTCAACCGTCAAGTTAAGAAACAAATAATTAGGAAATAGTATTACCAATTCTCCGGTAGATATTTGAGTGCGTATATCAGACGTTGCATTTCGAGCAGTTTGTAAATCTCTACAAGCTAAAATGACCGTGGCTTTTCTTTTGGCTAATTCCTTTACTATTTCTTTACCAATGCCGGAATTGGCACCTGTCACGATGAACACTCGACCTAGCAAACTGTCTGTATTTTTGCATCTTCCCCACGTACGTTCGCGACATTTTCGAAGCAATCCAATGAGTAATACCACTGGTAATATGAAATAACACCACGAGGATACCATATTTGCCTGAGAAACTATGACATGCGTATGAATTAAGCGTATATTTATTTGCGTACAACGACTAGTCAAAGTTTACGCCTTAATGGCGTATCGTGAATTTATCGAGAAATCGTATCGCAGAATTTTGGAGATCTTTTTCGTCCTATGAGTTAACCTTATTTATTTCGCGTATATATACCTCGATATATTAGGTTTGTACAACACATTGTACATTTATACGTATTTCACAGATGCAATTACACCTCGATGCGAGAGTAACTGTCGTTGCAACGGATATTTAACAATCACAATCTCCATTGCGCGTGAATCGTATCTCGATGTACGTTATTTCGATCAAATTACACGCCGTTATCTGCCGTTACGAGGCCATTGGTAAAAAATTCGTACCGCGAACAAATATGACAACGATAACGACTTTCTGTCGTCAAAGATTTGTGTCGTGCGTAGCTTGTGAGTAGTTGTGACGGTGTCTAGCGTCTGTCGATTTACATTCGTCGGATTAAATTGATTAAAGTAAATAATACCTGTTTGCGGATGAGTAATTAAAATATTAAATACGATAAGATTTTATTACTTGTAATAATATCTCGTTTGATTATAACGTTTAATTATGAAAATTAAAGACCTGGAATAGAATACGTGGTCGTGTAATGAATTATCACAGATAAATAGCTGTAACAGTATTTTCTTATACTTATTTTATTATACTTATTTCCATAGAAGATGATCGATTGTACAATTGGAAACGCGACTATATGTGTTATTTGTGATTATGGTATTTTTATATCGTTCGTAGTGCAATACATCTCGTATTCGTGGTTAAAATTTTAATAACAACGATACATTCTGCCTTGATGTACAAAATATGATAAAAAGTAAGAAATTCGTCTGTCTGTCTGTTTTTTTTTTTTTTTTTTTTTCGTTTCTGTTAAATATAGGAATTATACGCTATATATGTATAAAATTCTTAACGTTAATGTTTCTTTCATTGTACAGAATTTTATATGAAATTCAAGCTCGTTTGACGCAATACTCTTGCACAATGTGAAATTGTTTACAACGAAATTGTTTAACGACAATCGTACGACAAATTTATCGATCGAGAATACCAACGTCGACTGGTAGTAGTCGGTGACACTAGGTGGCAACTTTTTTATCGTTAGTTAGTATTATGTTTACTGAAAACGGTGTAAAAATTGTAACGGGAGTAATTCAATTTCTTAATTGTAGCAAAAATCAATCGTAGTTGTTATGGGGAATCTTCTTCTATCTTGTTGCAAAGGATCATCTTCGTGCGAAGATTTAACACCAGACTTGGTAAGATATGAAATTTTAAGGTTACTCGATGATAACGTACGTTGTTGTACGTACGTACAGTGATTCCTATTAATATGTCATTAAATTGATTGAATGTAATTAGACTTGGATGAGGGAAATTCGTAACATTACGATTCGAAATTCAATCGAAAAATTGACGAAAAAGAAAGTATCGTACAGCACGATTGATCTACAAATCCATTGTAGAGTCAGTCGCGAACAAAATTTTTCAATGTTTTTACACGTTATCAGAATTTATGGCATTGTCATGGCACGGAAAAGTATCTTCGCTTACCTATCCCCCAAAAACGTGATGTAAAAATGTCTCAAGTAAGAGTAAAATGAACGATGCTCGATTAAAAAGTGGAGATTTTAAACGAGCTTCAAAATGAGTTTTTTCCAAGTTTATTACTTGCTAATTTTTATTTCAGTACTTTTCCTTATAAACGTCCTTGTTCGTTACGCGTTATATTTTAAATTTTGTCCAATGTTATATGTTTTGTTATTTGTTACATATTTGGTGTATTCGCGCTGTTACAAAAGACTGCGTTAAATGAATTGTCATCACGTTGAAAGTATCTTATCTTTGTTCAAGTTGTCGTATTTCAGTGAAATGAAATATATATATATATATATATATATATATATA